GATGACGTCACGCATGACTGAGCGCGTTGAAAAGCTTACCATGACTATTCCAGACCAAGACAAAAGTTCGCTGACAGGATATTTGCGTAACTCGTGGCAGTTTTTGAGATATCGTGCGAACAAAAAAGGGGAGAAAGAAAGAATAAAAAAAAGATGATGATGATCCTGACAATAACAAGAGGTGATCCGCTAATGTTAGCGGATCACCAATTAACATTAATAAAGGTAATAACAAACAGTAATAATAATTAAAAAAAAAGAATATTACAGTGACCACAGAAGGCAGTATATTATAATTATTTAATTGTAAATATAAGTAGTAAAATAGGCAATCTGTTCACTATATCCAAATATAGGCAGGGGTGATCAGAAGTAAGCAAAAATCTAAAACTTACACACACACTTTCTTCCGCATTGGGCATGGATTACATAGCAATTATCATACAGACGGAAACATACTTGAAATGTCTAATATTATTTTTATGGTTATTTTATTGTTAGTCCGTAAAAGTTCATCCAGTTGACAACAGTGATAGATCTGTTTATCGTGGGTTTCTCTTTACAAAATGGAGAGCGAAACGCTATAAGAAAGAATTATATATGTCAAGTAAGTAAACATTTTTTTTTGTGAATTATAAACTAAATATGTTTGACAAAGTGATAAACTTGCGTCATGCAGTAATGCTATATTTATATTTATATACCAACTACATATATTCCTGGCATTTGGTTGGTTAAAAGCAGGGCAATAGTTCCAGCCGTGACCTCCCACAATGCCAACAATCTTTGTAGTGGTATATAAAAACAAATGATTACTGGGATTTTAATCGGGTCATAGTTCAAATTATAACCCTTGGGCGGTACTATGTACCTCGAGTTTGTCCAAGACATAGTACAGCCTTCAGATCACCTTAAGCTATTATTTGAACCATGCCCCTCAATACAGTAAATTTTTGTATAAATTAGTAGGTGTGCAATTTTAAGTGTAAGTTATCTTATTTCACTTATTAATTATTTTATTTACATATTTGCAGAATTACTAGAAAAAGAACCTGATTTACCCACACATAATGAGAGTGGTAAGTGTGAAATATCAACAAGAAATTTTACCAATCAATCAATACCAATCAGTTTATCATTTAACTCTGTCCAGAATTTATTTGACAAAAACATGTGACATGCATAAATATGGTCATGATGACATCACATCATGACCATATATAGGCACATCATGACTATATATGGGCATAAAGCAATGTTTTATCAAAGAGAATTTGATACTGCAGACAGAGCTTAAAGCATGGTTTTTCTGCGGCCCGCGAAAAGTAATTAAAAACCCTATGTGTGCGGCCTTCCAAGCAACATTGACTAGAAAACACCTTGTTTTTTTACGGCCCGACACCGATCATGTGTAAAAAATATCATTGAAACTGAAAATAAAGTGGAGTGAAAGCATGGTTTTTAAGGTTTTTGGAAGCTCACTGAAAAACATCAAAGTTTGGGTGAGGCCCTTGGTGTTAAATCAAAAATTCACTTAGGCCCTCCAACCAATTTTTATGCCCACCCTGGCTTAAAGATTACCTTATACTTTGTATTTCAAATAATACTTCTGCTAAATTTTCTTTCTCAATTTTACACAGATGATGCGAGTGATGAGGAAGATACTAAACCGACAAGAAGCGATTATGTTTTAACGGAGGAGGAGATGCGATGGCATGGTTACCCTACACCTGACAGACCAGGCTTCGTATCAACGAAACACGCAGGCACCATCAGTGATGCCAGTCCCTTGATTGCTATCGACTGCGAAATGGTAAATCATTTCTTTTTATTTTTTGATCTGGATGATTTTCTGGTGTTAGGCAGAGTAAGGATTGGTGCTTAAAAACGCCCGTGTACCTAACAAATACAAAAGAATTTTAAAAATGGTTTTGTTCTTTCCTTTTGCAGTCAATGACCCATAGTGGACAGGAGTTAACAAGGGTATCTGTTGTTAATGAAAAATTAGAAGTGCTGTATGACACACTCGTTAAGCCATACAACAAGATCGTAGACTACTGTACAAAGTAAGTCATAGGGCCAAGTATTGTGTGTGAGTAAAAAAACTTATGGTAGGGTAAATAATGTTACCTGTGTATGTACTTTTTTAGAAGACAGAAGAGTGAGCGCGAAATGTAAGCAATCATTGTATTTTGTAGTCTTGGGGGAGTAGTCCGGTGGCTTATGTCATCCCGTGGGAATTTCGTGATCATTTTGTTTTTGTTTTTTAATTA